AAAATAGATTTCCTTACCCCTCCCTCTCATCTGGAGCTCTCTGCACTAAATGCAAGAGGAGCTTGTGAACTATTTTGATTTGTTTTTGAACTACATGGAAAGTGAAGGGAACTTGTACTGCCGGTTGAACCTCCCTGGCCCCATAACCTCGGCTGAAGCTAGCGGATCATTAACGGCGCTGCAGGCACCTCCTCGTGCAATGCCTGCCTTCCCCACCATGGCTGTAATAACAGGAGCAGCTCCTGCAAATTAGCAGTTTTAACCTCCTCTCCTGCCCCATCCAAATATCTATAATGAAGGCAATTCTCAGCTCGGGAAAGGTGAACCCTCCTTCTGCTGATGGCTACCTGCTAATCAACTGCAGAAGTGCCCCCCGCTCTACATCTTAAAAAGTGTTATTAATGGCTTGGCGTCCCCTGGAGAACAGCGGGAGGACTGAAAGTAAACTGTCAGGATATGTCAGGATTTGAGGCGCCGAGCAGCTCTAATTGAAATCTTCTCTGTCATTTGCTCATCAGGAATGTAGAGCTTCTTCTTTGAATGAAACATTAGACACCGGCCTGACAGCTCCAGGTGGAAGATTATTCGGCAGCCTAATCGCTCCCTGACAGCCCCTGTTCCTCCCACATCAGCATCTATTAACCTTCGTTTTATTCAGGCCCTTTTATGCCTTTTTAATCTGTGGCTCTGGGTGTTTTGGAGCAAGAGCTGACCAAATCCTACCTGGGACAGGTGAGTTGTGCTTCAACACAGCACAGCTGGGATTCAGTCAGCTCTGCTCTGTTGGATGGAAATCTCCAGGAAAGAGGTTTCCTTACAAAACTGTTAATCTGGTTGTGCAGGAGACAACTGTTTTGCCAGCAGTTGTAATGTTATCAAAAGATTTGCACTTTTGGGGTGTACAGTTTAAAGCCCCAAGTCATGGATGAAGAAGTCACTGTAAAAAATTCAACTTTAATTTAATTTAATTTTTGTGATAAGTGAGTAGTGAACCTTTGTGTTTGCAGAGAAAAGCTCAAAACCAGATGCGAGTGTACCCTCAAGGCTCAAACACTGGAAAACAGATAAAAAGAACCCGAAGTTTATCCTCTCTAAATCAAGACTGGGTGTCTCTTGAAAATTGATGCTATAACTCAAAGAGGAGTTATGGGTTTGATGCAGAAATTATTATCTGAGGTTTTCTGAGCTGTATTATGCAGGGAGTCAGACTAGATGATGATAATAGTCCCTTCTGGCCCTCAGCTCCATGAATCCTTCTCCTGAGCGTTTTGCCATTGTCCCCAAATTGTCCTTCCCTGTGTTATACGCTTGGGTCCAGATTCTCAGAGCCATTCAGATGTCTAGCACCAGGCAGGGATTTTTCAGGGGGAAATAAAGGCATTTTAGCCTCCCCATAACCTCTCCCTCACCCGTTCCAGTTCTTTCCATTCACTCTGAGCCCCTAGGAAGCCCCAGGGAGGCAGAAAACCCGTGGCAATGAGCAGAGAGAGGCACTTCGGGCATCGAATCAACACAACCCAGTGACACAGGTGCCTGTCACCAGCACCACGCTCAGGCTCCCCTTGTGGATCCCACAGGTCTGCCTGCCCCTACTCAGCTGCTCCAGACCACCCGCTCCTGCCAGCTCCACGACAGACGCTCCCCAAGTCGATGGGCAGCAGAGCGGCTGCCTGGAGCTCTGTAGAAGGCTCATCCTTTCAGCTGCCATCTCTATCCCTCTAACCTCACTTGGAGCTCCTCCTTGGGTGCCTCCCAGCTGAGCAGCCTCCCCTGCAGCTCGGTGAGGCTGGCCGGCTGCTCCTGGTGATGGGTTCTTGCCGCACCACCGGCTGCTCCGCTTGACTCCTGGCTGTACCGCGTCCTTGCACCATCCATGTGCCCAGATGCCCAGAGATTCAATCCTCCTTTCTCACACGATTCTGGCAGATTTTGCTTCAGCCTTGGTCCAGATTGCCTTTGCTGGCTCCAATTGGCTCAGCAATGCAATAGCGGAGCCATCTCCCAAATACATCTCTCTTGTGAAAGGACACCAGCAGCCCCCCCCCCCCCGCCATGCTCTGCTGCTGTTTGCGAAAGTCAGGACCGATGAAACGTGCCCCGAGTTGTGTCGGTGGGGAGGAGACACAGCCTTCAAGTGGTGATGCTGTACTTCTGTAAAGTAGCCCTGGAAACCTGAAATTCAGCCTCCCACCAGGGCTTCCCAGCCCCATTAATAATCTGAAATAAGATTGAGCTCCTGCCCGGCAGAGCTTCCAGCAAAGTCAGATGAGCCAAAGCAGAATGTAGATAACAGTTGAGTGTTGGAAGGAGTGAGGAAGCCTGGGTAAAGGGAAAGAGATGGAAAGGATGGCTGGAGAGAATGTGGGGAAGCTGGGTTTGAGTGAAGAGAGAAAAAGCTGCCCGGTGAAAAGGTGAGGAATGTCCAAAGCAAGGAGAGCATGACTGAAGGGGTAACAGCACGAGTGAAGAGTGAGGGAATAGGAGAATGAAAGGGCTGTGAAATACAATAACTAGACATACAAACAACAGTCAAGTTTCATTTTCAATATGTAAGGCCATGTACATCAATGCAAAGGTGGTCTACTGTCAAGACATAAGGACGAGCACCCTTCCTCCAGGGAGAAGCTGCTGCCTTTCCAGAGGAGTTCTGGTGTGACAAGGCTCCATCACCATCCATCCAGGCACTGAGACACACGAGCTCTCTGATGAGCCAGGATCAGGTGAGGGGGAAGAGAAGGGCAGTAAGGTGCCAAGATGGGACTGCTACATATACAAACAGCACAGGTAACCCTTAATCCAAGCCCTCACAGAAAGCTTTTGGAGATTTTTTGCTTTCCAGACCTGTATTTTTCAGGCAGGGGTCAAGGCACAATGCAGTGCAGCTTGAGCAGGGCAGCATGGGATGGAAAGCAAAAAAAAAAAAAAAAATGCTTCTTGGATCACAGATATGTTTCCTTATAGTACACAATTGTCACTTCCTCTTTTATCTCTCATTTCCTTAAAGGGAAGATGCTAGAAAATAAAATAAAATAAAATAAAATAAAATAAAATAAAATAAAATAAAATAAAATAAAATAAAATAAAATAAAATAAAATAAAATAAAATAAAATAAAATAAAAAAGAAAGAAAAGCATTAACCCATTCCTATTTAGACACCAACACATCAGATATCTATATATCAGTTGTTTCATGGGAAATATTCAGATTTTACACTGTTAAAATATCTCAGTCAGTACATGCATGGTACCAGAAGATTTTTAATTGTTAGGCTTAACTTTATTTAATATAATATATTTAATGGAGTCTGAAAATCTGCTGAAATCACAGTTTCCAGCATATAACAGAGCACAAAGGAAACTAGGGGTTTCTCATGCCAATTAAGAATCAATAGCCCTGGATCTGGAGGTCTTCTCCCCTGTCGAAAGACAGATTGGATTTTGGCTATGCAGCTAGTGAATAATTGCACCAACACACACAACCCCAACAAAGGAGCTCTACTTCACCAATAAAGCAGACTGGGCACAAGCTACCACAGTTGGATAGAGATCCAAGTTTTCCCACAGGTCAATGATACTTAAGGGCTTGAATTTAATTCCACCTGACTTCTAACATGGAAAGAGAGGATATTGAAGGAGCACTCCTGGATTTAGGTGTGGCAGCAGTACATTTGCTGTTGGAGGAGGACAGAAAGCACCTGAGAATTATGAGAGGAGGTTAAGCACATGTCTCAGGCACAAGCTGATCGCAGAAGATAATTTACTTGCTTCCAGTGACAGTGATCCCAGCCCTGCCCTCTGCATATGTTCAGAGAAAGGACGAATATGTTTGCTGGCAGTTGATGTTGAGATCTGAATTAGAGGAATTTGACATGCTATGACCCCCTGCTGAACAGTAAACCTAGAAACAGGGTCAGGAGTACTTACTGTGAGGTGACTTTAACACTGCCAGTTCTATCTGCATAGTAAGCATTAAGATTGTAATCATTATTTATAGCCCCACAATGCAGCTCACCTGAGTAATGCAAGTAAAGAAAAGGCCTGGAAAGACAACTATTGAAGTTTATTTACAATGGCTCCATTGGATCGCAGCACTCTCCAGATGCATGTTAAAATGGCAATAAAGGAAGCAAAAGCATTTTTAAAATCTGCCGTTATAGCTTTGCATTGGTGACATGTATTTAAATCATCTGCATGCCATCAAACATGGGTTCCAATTTAAATGTCACTGTGGAAGCTTTCTCTCATCCCTGCACAAAGTCATTTGTCACCTTCCAATTCATGGCAGTGAAAGGAATTGAGCGGAAGATTAGACAAACAAATGAAAAATCTATGTTTTTAATGTAAAATACAACCCTTGGAACCTCTTACTGTATTTTTTTAATATCACCATTCAAGAAAAGGAAGGAAAGAAAACAAAACACTACTATCATTAAAGCAAACAATAGACAAAGCAAAAGCCTTTCTCTTTGCTTAAATGATGGAACAAATAACCAAGTGAAATAGGCATTAAAGCTGATCATCTGGCTGCCCAAATGCATGTTTACCATTCAATTTATTACCATGTTGTGATGAACTTGAATAAGTTACGGTGGAAAAAAAAATAAGTGATAGAACTTTTTCCACAGTTCTTAATATTAACGTCAAGAAAACAGTATAATTTTCCAAAGTACAGAAATGAGTTCTTATTTTCTGTTAATCTGACAAAGTATCTTATATAACCCGTTATTTTTTTCCAAGAATTCCCAGTTTATGCTGCCTCAAATTATAACATTCCTATAAATGTGAAAATCTTTGACACCCTAATGCTTCTTTTGAACAGTAATCTCATTTTTGTCTTAGGCAAAATACTATAAACGTAATCCGTAAGTAATATAATATGGTCCCCGTAACAGAAGACACTATTAAACCATTATTTCATTTTTACGTTTTAATGGCAACTATAGAACAGCCATACAAACATGGATTATATGATAGCAATGATAAAAATAATGGTTACTTACAGTCAGAGTGCCAAATGTGTGAGTCCTAAGTCATCCAATATTGCTCCTGATGCCAAAATATAACCTTCTGCCTTTTCACCTTAAGGGAGAAGATGTTTCAAGTCAAAATAATTTTAAGACTGGTTGCTGGTAGACACAAAATTTGTCTGCAGTTCTTTATTATCAACTGTGTATTTGGTTTGTCTTATCAGAATGAAAGTTTTGAATCTTTCCCCCAAAAGCCCAGATTCTGCAGTCTTGTGATTGAGATAGGTATCACTGTTCTTGGATAAAAATAATCAAGACTGTAACTTGGATGCAGATGGAAAATAAAATGCCTTGAAAGTGTACATCTCAGGTTATAATAACAAAAGATGCATTAAAACCATTCAGAACGTCCTTCTCAGGAGTCTCATCATTTGACGCCCAACCCAGGCTTTGACGGAGCCTTGAACCATGGGTGCACTCACAACATCTACTCACTTGAGTAAAATTACTTATGAGCTTCAATTTAAAACTAGCTCAAACTAGGAGGTTTTTGTTCTAGTAATGTTACCAGGCTTTGGGTCAAGATTAAATTTCAGACAAAGCAAAAAACACAATTTCACCACCAGAATAAGACATGAGTCAAAATCAGAGCTGATTGGGGATTGGGACCATCCTGCCTGGTACATGACTGCTGCCACTGGTACAAAGGCAGAGGCAGAAAGTGCAGAGCTGGGAGTGCCCTGTCTTTATACTATTGTCACCAATTATGAAACTGCACCCAAACACTTGGTTTTGCTAGGATTGTGGCCCTAATTCATCCATACTTCTTAGTACATGCCTATAGCTCAATCTGTCCAAAGCCGCTTACCTAAATTTACAGTCTCCAGGGCTGAGAACAGCCATGCCCACTGACTTAGGTCATGCTCAGCCTTCCTACTCAGAGCACCGCTGTAGCTGCTAGTTTTTGCAATGCAACTCTTCTGGTGTTTGATGTTGTTGTTGTTATATGTTTTTTGTTTGTTTGTTTGTTTTTCCTATCAGGGACCTAACTTTTTTAACACATAAATTAAGAAATCAGTTGCTTAATTTGCAATCACTCAATCTGTCTTTTGCTGTTTCTGCACCAGTTACAATTTGCAGCAACAGAGCAGCAAATGGTACTGATGTCAGAATACATTTTTCCACAGTCCACAAATTAAAAATTCTCACAAGTAACCTGAACGTGTGTGTGAACATACTGGTTAGCTTAAGAACACAGTTTTAGTTCTTTGCAATCTGCTGAGGCATTTGTGAATGAATTTGGCATTCATAGAAACAAAAGATTAGATGTCTAGATCAAAGATGAGCACGAGCAGGTCCCATTCAGCATTCCCAACAGAGCTGGATGAATAATCCACTCTGTGAATTTGGCCTCTTGTTCTGTTCTCCAATTATCCATGGGCAGATGGTGATTTTGTTGTACTTACTCACTATTTAAATGATTTGCTGGATAACCTCAGTAAACAATTCTCACTTGGTAGGTTGCCAGTGAGCAGTTCACCGAGGATGTTCAGTACTTGCTCCGGTTCTGTAAGAGTCAAAGATCACCTGGGATCACTGTGGGCTCTGCTGGGATGAGCAGAAGAAGCCTTAGAGACTGGTTTCCAATGCAAAAGGCTGTAATTTGAACATTCCCTTTCCAGAAATGATTTTTTAAATTGCCCTTTGACCTATGAGCATGTCCAGCAGTCATATGAATGGCCAGAGTTAGCCTAAGGACACAAGAAGCACTTGAGCTCCCAGTCCAGCTGCAGCCCTGTCCCTCACCAGTCTCCTCCTTCCCTTTCCTACCCAAACCTGAGGCTTTGGGCTCTTCCTTTGTGTGGTGGGCACTCATTTCTACAAACACGGAGGAAATTAAAGCAGCTTCCCTGTTCTGCAGGAAGTTATGCCAATGAACTGTGACTGGCTACACAGTCTTTTAAGATATTTTATCCTCCATTAGGAGGAAAGCTTCTTAGACAAAAGTTACTTTAAAAGCAATCAGTTGAAGGTGCTTGCAAGCCCGCTTCTCCCCATTGCCTGGCTCCTTCTGACCCTCCGCAGCCTCTCTTATGACCCATGGCTCCACAGGTCCCCAGCCTCCTCCTCCTGCTGGGAGAGGCTCTTAGATGCTGAATATTCCTCTCACCTCCACGTTCCCCACTTCTGAAAACCCACACTTGCTACTTACAGCTTATCGGTATTAAAAGACAGATGCAGGTCCATGAATCCGGAAGGTTATCCATTGTCTGTCAAGCAGATGGCTGAATAGATAATATCTGAGAAGCTGTTTAGTTTCATGCTTGAATTCCACTGCATCCAAGTATCAGCAAAATATTATAAATATTCCAGTGCTCCAAGATAAGCTAAATCAATAAAGTCATAGAAAAATTCCCATTGGGTGTAACAGCTCATATAACTGTATCTGTCTTACCAGGCAACCTAAAATATCCATAAAATTACCTCATTTGTATATTTTGGGATTATTTACCTAACCTGGAAGACTCCGCTGATCACACAGATTCTTTTAAAATGTGCAAACCTACTTATACAAATATTTTGCACTTTGATTTTATACTATATAAATTCCCCAGTGCCTGCCAATGAATTGTGAGCCTACCCCCATTTTCCAGATATGGATTTCCACCAGGCAGAAATAAAGTATGAAATGACATTAGAGTAGGTTTTTCTTATTTTATAGGTCCATGAGAAAAATCACTGATCTCAGGACTTAAATGTTGGCCAGCAAAGCAAATGACCATTCAAAGGAGAATTATAGAAGCGTAAGGCATTGCCAATAAATAACACATTGATACTGAAAGCACAGAGTGCTACCAAGCACATCAGAGAAAAAAAAAAAAAAAACAAAAACAAAAACAATATTCTTACTGCTAAGATCCTAAAAAATCCAAGCAGCATCAGACAAGAGGACAAAACTATGTATTCCAGCGACTCTGGAAATGGCATTCAGCTTCTTGATCAATGGCCTGGAAATCACCATACATACAAATGCAGAAACATTAGATAAAGCCAGGAGCTAAGGCCCACAAGGTTCCTGTTGAGCTTAAAAGTAAGGCAGAGATGGGACAAGCTGGCAGTTTCCAGTGTAGCACAGAAACTGAACTGAACTGGCTGAATTAGTGAAAATTCAGGGTTTGCAGCTCTGTGTTGCATTAAGTGTGGATTTTGAGTGGGAAAGACAAAATTACTTCTTCTCCTGGAAGGTTTGGAACTGCAAAGGTCCGGGCATCTGCAGGGACCCACCATCACGTTCTTGTGACTTGGCTTCACATTGGCTTTTAGCAATTTAACAACTTTGTTGTTAAACAGGAGCTTCTCATGGTATCATACTTTTATGCTTGTGCCTGATGGAGCAAGCTGCAGTGGAAGTCAGCGTGTATTTATGGAAGGAGGACTTAACTGTTGAAGTCTTCTCATTTGGTTGCTAAAGGTAAGTATATGAAAGCAGGAATTCACACCGCCCATTTTCAGATGACTAACTAGCCTAATTTGACTTTCTCTGTAATTAAAGGAGAAACTCGGCCTGCTCTGAAGCAACATTTCAAACAGGAACCTAATTTAGCTGCCTTAAGTCACACTGCAGAGGAGCTCTCCCTGCTACCCATTGATTATAGAGGGAACTAGAGGAGATCAGGTAGCTAACTTAATTGATTAAATTAGATGTCTGAAGTTGCGTGGTATGAATGCCCTGCAAAGTGCCCTGGAACAGAAAGATTAGCACAATTTCCAGGGCTGTGTAAAAGACCTTGAACTGTATCCAACACAAACTGCACAATCTTTCCAACAGCTCCTGTTCTTTGATTGCTGACGCTGACAACAATTCACTGCATGAAATATAGTTTGAGTGCTGTAGAATGGCTTAGCATTGAAGCAAAATACAAGTCACAATTAACACTGAATCCTGGATAATTTTTTTTTCTTCTTATTGGTACTGGAATACAAAGTAGAGCAAGAGGGTGACAGAGCAGCATAACGGATGTGCTAAAAGGGAGAACTCGTGGTAAGTGTAGGTGTTTGAAATGGAAAATTTGGGTGTTAGAAAAAAAGTTTCTAACCATGTAGGAAGATGAATTCCTCCTTCTAAGATAAAAGACCTGGTGAAACAAAGAGTAAATAAATACAATTCAAAACAAAAATAATAAGCATAATGATTAAGCTTTCAGCTTCTACTGCAGCCTGACAACTGATCTGACAAGTTAACACAAGGGATGGAAAACAAAAAACTTGTTGTTGTTGTTTTTGTTTTTCCTATAAAAGAATGAGAAAATGATTTTGAAAACACTGGAAAGTTTCCTATTGATTTCAATGCTACTGTCTACTAGTCTTTGGATAAGAACTTTTAAATGTATTTTTATGATCAGGGAGTTTACCACTCCTTCATAAGACATAAAATCAAACATTTTCTTCCATAAGTAGATACCATATAGCAGCTCCCTTCTTTCTTCTCACTTTGGTGTACCTACTGCTTAGGTAAAAGGTCTGGCCCAGGTTCAGTTTTTTTCTGTGTTCCTACAGAAAAAACTACTGAAATATTATGTATTTAGATGCATGCAGCAGACTGCATTAACAAAGACTCTTTAGATGTAATGTTTGAGCTGTTTGGGCTAATTGAGCTCCCTTGGCACTGCAGAGACACTATGCCCCAGAAAAACTGTCCCAAGATGGCCTCGTTTTCACAGCTCTTCTCTTTTCTCGTTTCATCCCTGTAGAGCTGCAGCTTACAGAGATTCATTTCACAAAACAACTCTCAGCTGACAGATGTGGCCACCGCGATGTCCCTGTTCACTGGAGCAAAAGCATTTTTCTGCCTTCTCCCAGTCCTCCAAGTCCTGTTACTGGAGATGAAGTTTCGATGTCTAAGGCACTGGAGCAGTTGCTGCTGCCTATGGAAGATGGAAGCACTAAACTGTTAAATTAACAGCTGCAAACAGCTCACTGGAATTGGGATAAAAGCAAATGAATGTGACTCCAACTCATTCCTCCTGAGCAAGGCAGGCCCCCACGCAGCCCAGGGCAGAGGCACCGGCACTCAGGGCACAGAGCAATCATCAGCCTGCAAAGCGCCCTGGC